TTTCACTATTATTTTTTTTTTCATGAAAGCTCTTTATATGTGCTATAAATATTGTTATAAGTATTTTTCGATAAAATCAACTGTTAATAAGTAATTTAAAAAAATGTTTTTTTTTTAATTTGTTTCCGAATTTTCTTTACTACCTGCATCCTGTATTAATCAACAATAAATGGTAAAATATGCGCATATATATGCAGAATATTAGTGCAAAATATGCAAACAGTTTTGATGTATATGCACACATATGTAAAATTATTATATGTTGCATAATTTCTAATAAAAATGGAATTACGATAAACACTAACAATAAGATGTTTTCTGCACGAAATGATTGCCTCATGTCGCTAAGAATTAATTTATAAGCACTAAGCAGAGAAACTTCTCTCTACATCAACAAGTAATAGGTGCATTAGAAAACGACAAACTATTGAGAACAATTTCCAAACCTTCCACAATATCACCCATCAACACGGTAGAGAAAGAGAAAGATAAAATAGTTTGGAAATGATGAAATTAAACATCAATTAAATCAATAAATCTTCCTTCCAGCTATTGCAGTATGTTTCATGATCGCGTCCGTTATAAAAATCCGCAAAAATGTACTAAAAATTCAAATTAAAATCGATTATCTCTAACAAAAATTTAAACACATCCTAAAATATGCAAAAATAAATTCGGTTTAATCGCAAATGTTGCAAACCAAAAATACACAAAATCTCATAAGAAGTACAACAAAAAATAAACGATATTCATTTTGCATATAAGTATTCACAGCTTTAGCTGATCAACAAATTGAATTAAAATTAAAATAAAATAAGTGCTTCCAAACATCAAGAAGATGGTGAAAATATGCAAAAATATATGTATCATATGTGGAGAGATTTCACCTTTTAGTGAATTGCACTCTCCAAAATATAGGCAATCTTAGGCAGTGTTATACAACGTTGCATTACAAGAATTGTCAGTCTTACTAAACTAGGAGATACATCGGATAACCTGTTGTACACTGTGAAGGCTCTTTAATGGTGAAAAAACTCCCTTTAACGAGTCCTGGGAAAACCTTAAAGAAATGCTTCAGATAAGCGACGCCTACTCGATAAACACAGCAAAAACGTGAAACACGTTTCCGCTTAACTTTAAACAAGAACTTTACAACTGACAAGACTGACTGTCTTGCAATAAATACGATCAAATACGGCTTTTAGCCATAACGTCTGCGAAGAGTTTGTTAATATTGATGGGAAGGTGTATATTGTGCCAGATAATTGGACATACATTATGTGAAAACAAAAAATACATTGGAAAATTGTACGTCAAAATCAAAGAGATGCTATTCCGGAAGCAGCAAAAATATGAAAGATAACCCTAAGTTTGGCTTCCATATCGCCTCACGTAGAATTACCAAGCTGGCTCTTGGCAACTACCATTATGTAATGCTAATAACTTAAAGTGCACAAGCGCATGCAAACTGCCAACTTGTGAAAACGTCATTGAAGAAGAGGAAGAAGTAGCAGGTTTTAGTGTATATGAAACTTTTGAAAGTAACGAAGGGGTTGATTTAGTTTTCATTAAATGTTAAGAGTTAAAAAAAATTCAGTTCGTTTACTTCATGCATTAGTTACTAATTGTTGATTTTATCGAAAAAGGTAGTTATGACAATATTGTAGCACACACAAAAGCTTATTCATTTAAGAAAATGATGAAATCGGACCAATAGCTCTAGAGATATAGTATATGTGTCTAACCGTGGTAAAAAGGAAAATTGGTACCCCCAAATTATACCATTTCCTTAAATTTAGCCAGTTGGCCCATAGACTATGGTGGTTTAGACTTCATAAAATGATTACAGGTGTGGAACAACCGTACAAATAGTAGCCGGTTCTTTGCCCTCTTTCAGGCGCAGCACGTATTTTGTTGGTATACAAAATTAGCATCTACCTTATAGTCACTTTGTATTATACAATAAGAGACTTTTTCATTATTCAATTAAGGTCTAAAAATACGTTGTTGCACTTTACCTTGTCGTTGTAAAATTGTCCGTGATTAGCGAAACCAATAGATTAGGTAATATGTGTCTTCCCTTTGGATGGAAAGAAGCCTGTCATGTAATTGCACTGCAACTACTAGTGGCAATATCTTGACCTTTGTCTGTTAATTAGTTGCGATTGGGTTTAGTAAGACCTACAACTTCAAAGACCAATAATGTGTATCCATGACTAGTTTCGAATTTCTCTCTTAGTTTTCCTTAAACTTGTATGTAGAGCGCACCGGATAAATTCTTTATTTCGACTGATAGTGCATATATATAAAATTCTATCTATCCTATACATTTTACGTAACCCCTGATATTAATTCTTTTTTAGACAACCTACAACCTTGGAGTACAAACTTCTGGAAAACTGTTAACACTAAGAATGTTCCAGGGAGACGAACGCACACGTTTAAAAGCATTAGGGCATACAATTTTCACCAAACGGAAAATTTAGTCGCCAGATAAGGTCGACCAAGATTATCTTTAAACAGAAAACAAGTGAACCTCTGAATTATTACTTTAAGCGACGTTTACGCTTCATCACTACAAGACGTGGGAAAGCTAAGAACGCGTACAGCGAGAGAAGTCACCAAGTTTAAAGGACAGCGCAGTAAGTGACATTTGGATATTGCCTCCTTTATTATTAGACGAACATTAAAATTGTTCCGGGGTAGATTAAGTTTCGCTGTAGGTAATTGTGGGGAAATCTTGGGGTTTCATTCTAGGTTTAGGTTATTGTAATTGTTTAAACATAATTGTCACTTGCGTGTAAATTTTAAATTTCATGTAGTTTAGGCAAACCAAGTTGCAGTGGTAATAAAAATCTATAAAGAAAGTGATTGTGAGACTAAAGCAAGTAAATTTTGTTTTACAGTTCAGTATAGCTTCGGTCTTTTGAAGTAATTTTTAGTTACAAATAACGAGGTGTTTCAATAATTAACAGCTCCGAAGTCCTGCGTGATATTAACTATTGACACATTTTGTGTGATTTACACCGCATTTATTTTTGAAACCCAATAACGTGGGGCAGGATTTCAAAAGTGTTCAAAAGGGAATTTATTTGAGTTTAGCTTCAATAGACAACAAAAAGGAAAAACTATTTTAATGTAGTATAGGTATTGTATTGGTATCCATCTAAGAAGTGTAGAAATGGTGGAGGGTTCGTTTGATGCTGGCTAAGATGAAGGGTTTTAGCATGATAATGCAAATGATCAAAGAAAGTAATCCGAAATTGGAGGAAATGAGAGTGGAAGATTAGAAATTAGATGATAGAGGGTGGAGAATAATGAGATATTACATGAAATGGAATTGATGATGACATCTAGGGATGAAATGAAGGGTATAGAAGAACAGGTTAGGTTTAAAGTGAGAGTAAATTGAAGATTGGGTATGAAAGGCAAGTATGGCAACGTGGGGTGCGGAATGTAGAGAGGGATGCTTAAATAGCTAGATAGGTGAATGCGATGGATACTCGGTTTCGATTTTTTTCGGAAGATAAGATAGGGAAAATGAAATACAGGATAATGACAATTAATGGCGAAGTTTTGGAAAATAAAATAAAATAAAATAAACAATGGTGCGCGGAGAAATTTAAGAAACATGATAGCGATTTTGAGGAACTTATAACAGGTTACAGGGGTGGTGTGGAAACATTAGAAAACTTTACGGGGGAAGAGAAAATGCATCTCATGATAATTAGTTAATTAATTAAGAATAATAGGCGAGTTTACGGATTACGTAGGTGCGAGATGACTGACTCGAAATTTAATGAAAGGGGGTGCTCAGATTTGATAGGACACGATACACGAGAAAACTGAAAATGTTGAAACTTTTGGAGAAAATGTTATGTAATACTATTAGTGGGAATAGAAACAAAATAAAATCATGAATAGACATTGTAAAGAAATATGCAACACGAACATCGGTAGTAAGGACAATATTTGATTAAATGGTATACACTATTTAAACATTTGGACATATGGTTGCAGGAATCGGTCTTAATTAGTAAATTAGCTAAGGGACGGTTATAAAGTAAAGCATCAGGGATTTAATTCCATCAAGGTTAGAATATGCAGTTATAAGGCAGATATAATGAATATCAATACCGCAAGGAGCAAATGGAGTATAGGCAAGTTAATAGAGAACACGATACAGACCACGATACAGAGTGTATCGTGATACAGACTCACAAATAAAAAGAGCGAAACTTTTTAGGAAGGAGGCTGAAAGTACTAGTGATGTAGGGAACAGGAATGAGGGTAAGCAGGTGCATTAAATTAGTTAGTTAGCGAAATGTTTTGATATATTAAACTGCTAAACCCATTGCATTTCTAAGTAGGTATACCTTATCTGTTTAAGGTTGGGGTCATTATTTTTGACCATATTTTGATTTATTCCAGATTCGGGCATAGTTTCGATGCTCAAAACCCCAATTTGTTTCCCAATTTCGTCGAAAAGATGGCAACACGTAGTTTCCCAATGAGCGAGGGCTAACTGTTGTAGTATTATCGTTACGATAATTGATATAATCATTCTAGACAAGGGACAGTAAAAAACTGTCAACAGGGTTCGTACGCTTTCTACGCCATCAATCACTTCAATTCTTCTGCAAATGCAAATTTTTGTCAACGTAAATCTACAATTTTTCGTGTTCTTCTCTGCGCTACCATTGAATAATATTTATTATTCAATGGCGCTACTTAAAATAATAGCAATTGGTTAATAAAAGATTTATATGCATTACGTTAAAACTGGTAACCTAACGGCATCTGAACCTAGGAAGTAAGTTAGCCGTTTAAAATCTAGTACACTTCCTATCTCAATCCAAACTTATGAATATCTTTGTTATTATTATTAATTCTAAAATTGTTAACATGTTCATTCTTATGGAGAATGAGATTTCACAAATTATTCCGCAAGCAACATGATCGAGATGCATGCAATCTAGTTACAGCTTGCAAAACTTTACCTATCAGAGTCTCCTATGACTTTAATGCCCAGTTCTTCGTTTCCATTTTTATTGGATATTGTCTCAAATTCGACGGTTTTCTTAGCATTACGCTGCAATCCCGTTCTAGTTTTTGATGAAAACGAATCCAGCGTCAACATTATCGACTTACATTCAAAGCACATTCCTTTACCTGCAAATAAAGAATAAAATGGTAAACTAATAAAATTTTAAGTTACAATAATCTAAGCAATATATATTTGGTAGGGTAGAGTAAAAATGCATTTACAAAACGTGTCGGTAAACTAATCTCAGTAATCGCAAGCACGCGACGTTGCTGCTCCACCGACTATTCCATCAGGTTATGGACCAATCTCTTTGTCAAATTATGAAAGTGTTTCCATTGATCAATTTGAATGTGGATAAGAATTGCAGCCATAAACTAAACAAAATGAAAGCAAAGTATAGCTAACAAACGATGGATGCAAGACCAACTGACTAAATAAGCATTCCGAAATCGTACTTTCGTAAAAGATAAAATTATTCGAAATTAGTTCAGGATTAAAGTAAGCGAAGTGTTAGTGTTATTTTATTTTACTAAACGAATCTGCTGGTTGACCTTATATACGCTATAATCTTTAACTTAATACTAAGCAATTTTGGTGAATTGATTTATTTTTAAACCGCAGACCGCAATACGGAAAATCAAATTCCCAAGAGGAACTGGTTTCCAGACTAAGCTAGTAGAACACTGCAACCAATTCATAACGTAATAAGGGTAATACATCAAAACATTCAATTACTAGAATCGTTCCGACTTCTTCTTGACGTGTAACGTTTGCATAATTGGCCCTCGTGGGGTTAAGGGTAAAAATGCATAGGAAAAAAGGCCCGTTATGCACTGCGTTGTCCTGCTGATTGTATTACATTTTAGTAGCATAAAATTAAAAAGTACATAGTTTGCGTAAGCGAGGATTGTACCCAGTTGTAAAAACAAGAAATCCCAGATCAACTTTTACGCATCAATTTCGGTAGGATATTGCTTCATGCATCAAGATTTCCAGTCGCTAAGAAACTTCCTTCGGTGTATTATAACAAAAATAGATGCGGAAGCTGAATATGAATTATTTCTCTAGTTCCTTACTAAAGCAAGATTTGTACCAATTTTGGTACAAAATAACCAGTTCTCCTCACGAAACTATGGCGAAAATTGAATATGAAAGTTTCTTGCTTCGACAGGACAATCTCAAAAATCAAATCTAAACAAAATTCGAAATTGGTGAGAGAAATTTTGGTGCAGTCGATTTTTGGTAATAAAGGAAGGTTATACACTGCCTTTTTTTGAGGCCCTCAAAAAAAATTGGGCTACTAGTTCAAAAGTTTCAGCCCTTTGAATTTTCTTTCGAAATTGGTTTCTTTCTAGTCTATAACTTTTGATTGAGAAGTCTGATCGAAAAAGTACGAATTGTTTTGGATTCTACGCACCAAAATTAATAAGAAAAAGTGTTTTCCCGAAAAATTTTGGTGCAGTCGATTTTTGGTAAAAAAGGAAGGTTGTACACTGCCTTTTTTTGAGCCCCGAAAAAAAAATTGTCTCAGATCGACCCGGAAAAACAATTTTCTTATAGAATGTGGCCTGTAGAATCCATAATTTCAAACAGTTCCAAGATTGGGCTACTAGTTCAAAAGTTACAGCCCTTTGAATTTTTTTTCGAAATTGGTTTTCTAGTCTATAACTTTTGATTGAGAAGTCTGATCGAAAAAGTACGAATTGTTTTGGATTCTACGCACCAAAATTAATAAGAAAAAGTCTTTTCCCGAGAAATTTTGGTGTAGTCGATTTTGGCCTGTAGAATCCATAATTTCCACTGCCATCTTGAATTTTTTCCTCAGCGATGTAAGATACCATAGAAGTGAACTTAATTTAATGATGTATTTATTAATTTTACTACTTTTTTAGCATGTTTTCCAGTTTTTCAACTTTCTAATTATAGCACCCTCTCCCCCTTCATCGGGGCCTGCGGATATCTTTGAAAGTTCCGAATAACTTTTCTCTTAAGCTTAACTTACACTGTATCCGAAACTGCTTGCATTGCGCCCAATACTCAATAACACCACAGCGAATTATATTTAAACTAAGAATAAATTAAATTATTATATTATATTACCGTTGGCAGTGGTGGAAATGTCAGTAAGAAAATTCCAAATGTATAAACGCATTATAAGTTTACTAACTTTACTACTGTTGCGTGGGAATTTATTGAAGCATTTATACTCGCAGGGGCGATTGTTAATGGCCAACAACACATTTTGTTGATAAGCACGGGGGGGGGGGCTGTCATTTTTTCAAAATGGTAGTATAAGATCTGCTAGGGCTGCCAGGACAACTTTGTCAACTACTGCCGAAGTTGTACTACCACACCATTCACCGTAAACGACAAAGTCGCAGCTAATGTGCGGGAAAGGGTAGGTAACAAAAATGTTTCTAGTGAAAGTATGGCCATATTTGTGGTTGTATATTTTACGTTTGCAAACTGAAAGTTGAAAACTCCTGCTAAATGCGACTAATGCTCTTTTTCATCTTAACAATTTTCCCCGAATTGCAAATAAAACATGCTGTGATAAAATCAAATTTAGCTGCATAGAGGCTGTATCCCTGTGTGCAGAAATGAGGATTTGTGCTTAATCATTATGTAGGCTGGGTACCTTTTATCAGGGGATGATCGTACATTAATTAAAATTGATTATCTTGTTTTGTATCACTAAGGAACAATAACTAGGGGTGAAATTTGGTTAAAATGATATATTAAAAAGGATAAGTTCAATATTATTATACAATTAGATGTGGGCATATTTGAACAAACTATAATCCCTTTGGCTTTAGGCGCCTACTTCTTGAGTCTTGCTAGCAGTAATCTAAGTAATCCTGGAAACATGCAAAAAAGTGCGAGAAAACACCATTATATGCGACAGAGCCGCCACCTATTCGCGTGCACACGACCGACGCTCGGCGTCGGCAGGTGACTTCTCCCTCAGATTCATACTCCCAGCATCAGTATTCTATAAAGCTACAGAACAGACTGTTTTTATCTTCGAAACGGTTTCTGCCAAAACGCAAGCTCGAGTAAAAACGGGCGGTGAGATTCGCAATCGGATACTTCAGTGAACTTTCGAATATTTAAGGGGGAATTTACAAACGGGTTACGAACCCAATTCTTTCTTGTGCACGCATAGTTGTTAGCTATTTATAAACAAATGGAGTCCTTATGATTCTAATTTAATAATACCCAAATTACTGCCCTGTGCGGTAATTACGTACTACCATTAATTTTCTTTCAAATACTAACTAATTTTTTACGATATCCTATTAAAGGGGCACAATTATAAATAAGCACAACTGAGACGAATCACGCACTTATTTAAAACACACAGGACAATTGACAATTTATCGTAATTAGAATGGCAACTGCCTCGCTAAGTAAATGTTGTGACAATTTACAAAGATTGCAATTGTATTGATCCCAAAAATGAATTTGCAACTTTCATTCAGCTTTATTGCACAGTTCGTAAGCAGTATTGTCTTCGTTTCTGTTTGTAGAAGCTATCCATAACAAAAGGTCTTGCGCGATCTTACGGTGAAATTTTTCTATATCATCATTCCTACTGCTGCAAAAAAAATGCACAGCTCTCGCAGTCCTTATAACTGTCGAAGACATTGGAAATGGTAACATCGTATGTAATTCACAAAAAAAAACGATGAAAGTGGCTTTGCATTTCATCAACTATAGTTTGGTTCTCCCAGTATACAGGGTGTTTGGTAAACATGCGGCAAAAATGAAAGAGGTTATTCCTTGGACTATTCTAATGTTATTTTATCCTTTGATGATTTTTGAAAAAACGCTTCGTTGCAAAGATACATGTGTAATTTCTGCCCTTATTACTTAAACGGTTGTTTGTGAAATCCTCTATCATGGCTCATTATTCGAATGCGTTTTTTCAAAAATCATCAAAGGATAAAATATCATTAGAATAGTCCAAGGAATAACCTCTTTCATTTTTGCCGCATGTTTACCAAACACCCTGTATACTATCGAAAGCATTTTCTGGCCCTTCCAAAAGAATTTTTGGCGAAATAAACATTTAGATTTAGATTTATTAGATTAGCAGCCAACAGAAACTGCCAATAACAGGCTACATTAAGTTTAACAACCTAAAAATAAGTGCCCCTACAGTTAAAATAGTATGAGTACCTAATAATGAATAAGTTATTAATAAAACAGAAATGTAAGAATAATAATTATTATAACAGTAACAATAATTAGAAGAGTAACAGGTTTAATAAGTGTAAAATTAAATGTTATTACTACCTACACACTGGGGTAGCATAAGGTCGTAATGTAACTAAAGGTAGCATTTTAATTTGTTAATAAAACGTTTTTGCTGAGTTGAACTCGCGATGCAATGGTGATTGCAGAAGCACGGTAGATAAAAGACTTGGCGATTCCGACTTCCAGGTTTTAGTACGTAGTACTTTACGCATTGCATTGCTTTTACTGATACCGGTGTTATATATTAGCTAAAGCTAAAAGGGCTATTTTAGATTCAAAGAGAATATCAGGCTTTGACTTTCGCAAATGCACGAATAGTTCAGATGAAAGAGTTGCATGCAACCGCTAAAAATAAATATCACTGAAAAGGGAAGCTAGTAGGCTTGAAGCCAAGAGTAAATTCTTTGCTTGAAGTGTGCGGTAAAAGAAGAAAGTTCAGGTCCACTAGCAAATCTCTACGTTAAGAGGAGTACGTTAGCTGTCTACAACTGAGTCCGTCTGTTTCAATTCGAATTGAATCGTGGGAGCATCAAATAGACTATTTATATGCATTTCCACCCAGGACAAAAGCACCTGACTTTGACTGATAATAGTAGTCCCTATTTGCACGATATCCAGACGCGAGCAAGACGATGACATACAAGCAAGGTTGAATTGGATAAGTACTGTGGTGGTAACGGAAAACGTAGAAAATAATATGCATATTTTCCATGTTCCTGCTTGTACTGTGAAACCAAAGGTGTTCAACCTCTAACAATTGCATAATTACATACAGGAAGGTTGCATGGGATTATTGCTTATTGAGTAAGTGGGTAATCGAAGGCCAAGGGTCGAACCTGACAACGTTAAGTTGTAGTCATTCATT